AAGAATTCATTGTAATGTGATAAGAAGATCATGTCATGACTTACCAATGATATTGAACCAATGATCTCCCATAGCCTCATCTATTTCGTTAGCTAGTTGAGTCCAAAAATGTCTTTGCAAAGTATTCAGTTTGGTAGGAAGTCTAAAGAAAAATAGTTGTAGTTGGAGCAAGGTTTTAGATCTATCAAAACAAAGGCCATGAAAGAATTTTGATTCATCACCTTATACTAAGGCCGTGTTCGTCTTCTTCTAGTGTTTTCCTGTAGAGTTCACACAGAACCTAAACATGGTTTCGTGGCTACATTGATAAACCAACGTGCTAAGTACATTTTTGTTTCTATTAATTTCAATCCTGAGTACAGTATTATGTGTATAATTATTTTTTGCTTTGTTCGCTTCCTTGAATGTACAAAACTGCTCCATTCTCTCCACGCTAGCTGGAATCCAAATTCCCTGCTATACATAGTTTCTTTATACCTATATTTTGTTGGAGAAAATATGCTCATGGAGTTTACCTATAGATAGAATTTGTTGATCTTAACAACTTGACAGTATCTAGTAAACTATCCCCTATGTTGAGTTTAACTGTCTTCTCATGAACTCTTATGCAAGATGCAATTTCTGTGGGAAAATATTCTTTCTAGGTTGGAGGTTGAAAGGATTTACATGCCAGTTGATACCACTATCAGTATCTATAGAAATAGACTTGCCTCCACCTTCTTCCAAAGATTGAAGATGAATGTGTCAGCATCGTGACGGCCACCATAAAGGTAATCTCGTTGGATATCCTGAATGAACCGTGAGCTGTTCAAGAGAATGCGCCAACTGTCCTACAAGCCCAACTCTTACATAACCTATCCTCTCTCAAGGTTTCCCTACTTGTAAGTTTCCACCATCAACATTAGTGCCTTCAATACCTAGTAAATGACTTGTAGGAATATGTGCCATAATGGTGATTTTGTCGTAATAGTTGAAATGACGATCTAGAACTAGATCTCATAATGTTAGTGTGAGATCAGTATGTAAGAGAAAGAAATGGAGAGAAGAGGAGAAGAGGACGAGAAGATAAGGAGGAAGAAGAGAAGATAGAATAAGGAGAGAGAGAGTCACACATAAGTCAGACTAGTCACACATTTTATTGACATAGAAATAACTCCAAATCCGATAGTGCTCATGAATGTTGTGGTAGATACCCAAGTTTAATAAAGAACCGATAGTATAACTTATTAAATTGTATAGCCCACTTGTGCTCCTTACTTTCCATTTCACTTTCAAACAGTAAGGGTGACGACATGTGTACAAAGATCCGTCATCGTGGTGACCACATATATAGCCATGAGTCATCATGGTTACCACATATGCAGAGATATGTGCCAACATTGTGACCACACAGGTTTCATTTTGGTGACCATGTTTCAAGAAAGCAATACACTTGGTTTAATTTGGTGCACCAATGTCAATGGGCTTCATCTTGTTTCTTCTTCTACATGTGGCAAATCTTAACTTAATATGTTAAAATATTATAAAGAATTTCCAATCTTCTATGTAGATCCATGATCCTCATGTGGGTTGAAGTAAATGGCAAAATTCCGTTGTAACCTTAGGACGTGATACATTCTTGTCTTTGTGCTTGTTAAGTGTGATATTCGACTTAGAAAACATTAACCATGATCAATTATTTCACTAATTTCAGATCTTGGGAGCCTCTTAAGTGTGATCGTATTTGTTGGGCGCGGTTTGGGAGTAGGCCCGGTTTGGGGAGCACCAGACCGCCATAAGGTGGAAGCTCCTTGGGGTGGATCGACATTTACACATTCAACAAGTTAAGGAGCTAGATCCTAGGATACCTAGGAGCGAGATCCCATGTCACTGGGATCGAGGTTTTAACTTGGAGTGATCTATTAATAGTAAATGATAAAATTGGGATCGAGGCAATGCCCACTCAATCTATTATCATACACCTTCGCTTACCAATAATGCCATAGTTATAGTACCCCAATTCACTACAATAATACAGTTTAATGATGTCATAAATTGGCTTACTATGATATTAACTATAGTTTTTCAATACTATAATCATAGCATACCACAATGTGATATGCACCACTGTTTAACATATTCTAAAAAAATAAATCTATAATACTAAGGGTAGGAGCAGTAGTTCAATTAATAATATAGCTCTTGTCCTTGGAGGGATCCTTCAAGCATGTAGACTGAGATCTCATTTTGTAGGGAGCAAAGATCCATATTTCTCTAAACCTAGCTCGCTCTAAGATCCCTTAGAGGAACTACATGATCGAGTTCCTAAGGTGGGACCGTGGCAAGGTTCCCGTAACTAAGAGTGTGATATTTAGAGAGTTTAATATTTCTAAATAATTATTGTTTGGAAAATGTGTTGGCATTAGGATTCTTGTGAATTAAGGTGTTGAGTCTAGGGTGGATATAGGCTATTCAACCTAGCAATTCACCAACCCATGATATGGGCCTTTATCCACGATATCAAGGCATTTGAATGGGGAGACTAGTTTACAAGTTGGTAAACTTGCTCTTAATCAGAAGCTACGAAAGTGGGCAGTCCAAATCCATTACTATAATTTTCTGTGGGAGGTTTGAACTCATCTTTCACAAGGACAACTCAGTGTTGGTCAAACATTAAGCATCACATGCGTCATTCCCCCACACGTGGCTCAAATGTTTCATCAACCTTCAACAGTGCCCTTCACAATTGTGAACCTCACCATTTGACCTTCAACAAAGCCGTTCGCCAAGGAGAACCTCGCCATGTTACCATTAAGTGTGTAGTGCATCCTCATGCAATGCCATATTAATAATGTCTCCCCCTTCCTAATAGAAGACCCACACAAACATTATAGAGAGTGGTGGAACAAGTAACCGTTATAATGAACATACTGTAATTACTCTCTTCCCATTGTCAGTTCTCTGCAAAATGAAGCCTACAACTGTAGACATTTAAAATAAAGCCTACAACTGTAGATGAACAAAATGAAGCCTACAACTGTAGGCAACCTACTACGACCCATAGCTATACAGAACTTATAATGATTTGTCTACTTTATTGTGGCATAGAAATGAAACCCAAACTATAATGGTGTTTGGACATTATCCATTTTCATTTCTAGCTTGCCTCTTAAATTGCAATGGTTTTAAATGATGATTTTTTCTCCCTAGTTTATTTTTAAGCTGTATTCTGAAAACAGAAATGGATGAAAAATTGGCAAAATTGATGTCTTGCCATGACAAGTCGATATTTAGGATTCTCAAAAGGTTTCCGATGTACAAAATTTTTGCCACGTAAATTTGACTAGAGTGACCATATCAACTCATGTGGTAATTCTTTGGAGGGAAAAGATGGTAAAATAGGGAAACTTTACTTTCTATATTCTCTGTGTTCTATTTTATTCCCTGTCTTTTTAGTAGTTTCTCTATAGTCCCCTGCACCACCTGATCCTTTTCTTCAATGCCCTTCTCTCTCTATGGAAAAATCCTAACTAAGAGAATATCTTTTGGTATAAAATTGACCTAGTGAAGAGAGAGAAGCATCAGAATTTGTCATTTCTTATTCTGTTTGTTAAACATTTTTCTTAGAAGTTGTTCTCAAGAAGTTGTTCTCATCTTCTTCTATCCTTCATTATTTGGATATGATTTTGCTTCTTTTCACTTTCAAGAGCTTTTAATTTCTATTTTCCCCGTGTTTTGTCTTCTGTTTCATGATCTTTTTTTCTTCTTTGTTGTCCCTCTTGTTTTTATTTCATTAAGCCTCCACCTTCATATTTATTCATTAAGTTTTTCCTTTTTTCACTTCGGATTTCAAGCAGCATATATTATCTTATTTCTTCCTGTTTTACATTCCTCTCGTTATTAGATAGTCAGCATGGCTACTAAATGTGATTTATGGTTTCCTTTTAATTTTTCTCATCTTCTTTTCAAATATCAATTCTATGTTGCTACCACATATAATTTATGCTTAGATGTGGGAAAACCTATTTATAATTGAAATTATGGCAGATTCCTAAATATCAGACTCTGACAAGGAAGAAAACCAATTTCGTAAAAAAATAAAAAATATGATTAAATATTTGCCTTTCCTTAACTTGCAACAACCTGAAGGTTGACATAATCTATTCACCTCTCTCAAGTTCAGGTTTCTTCGGTGGAGGATGCTATGAAGCTAAATGTTGGTTTATGTTCATATGGTAATCCAGGACCAGAAGGTATGGGTGGGTATTCGTAGAGTTGAAGAAGGTAGGAAGCTTAAAAGCTAATAGGGCTCATGGAGATATGGGATTCTATATTAATGGAGGCCTCTGCATTGCATATAGGTTTGTTTTAAGAGTCAATTAGTAGTAGAAACTGTCTTAGTATCATTAGATGGGCCCATAAAGAGTCCTCTATTCGGTGGATATTTAGTGCAATCATAAATGTTTGTGACACTACATATGTGACTTCTTCGCGTATTCTTAAGGGAGCTAGCCATGATGCCGATACCTTTGCTAATGAGGGGGTTCTTCAAGAACCACTCTATGTTGACAAAATTTCAATGTTGGAATTCTAATATGTTGACTTGACATCTCTTGTTCTTTGTGTTGTTTTTCTACCTTTTATTTTTGCAATAGTTTTTCATTAGTAATAAAAAAATCTCTAGTTGATGTAAACATATGCAATAAGGCTAGTGGACATTGTGTTTTATATAGGTAAGTACATATTATCCCATTAGCATATTGATTGACAATTGACAACCTCTAATGAATGCTTCATTGTCTATGGAGATCTATTATATCACAGATTTTAATTATCAATGTACTAAGTTTTCTCTTTCTAGTTGAATATGAAGTCTACCTACAAATGCTGAAATCTTGGTAGGTCTAGCATGGCCTGCAATATGATCTGGTTTGGTATATCTGTAGAGTTAATGGTTCCTGATATCCTTGTGAAATTTAATGTTCTAGATGATTGATTCTGAGTTTTCAATACTGTGCCAGGGAAACTTAGCTGATATATTGAGAAAGAAACTACGACTTGACCTTCAAACTGCAGTCCGTTATGCTTTGGATATTGCTAAGTATTGCATACCTTGTACATTCATTTTTGTATGATTGTTTAGTGAATTTTCTTTGAAGGAATCATAGTTGAGAAAATGCTATATGTTACATGCAGTAATATGGCCTTTCGAAAGTGCGTGGTTTCTGGACATCCATAATAAACACTCCATTTATTTTTTCTTCCCAATATTTTCTATGCCTTTTTTGGTAATTTGTTACCTTACTCGTTTGACTTTCAATTGAAATAATTGCAATTAAAGAGCTCTGAAACCTTTAACATGAAGAAGTGTGCATTATTGATTCATGGTGCAGAGAGGAGAGAGAAGCCAAATTTAGCCTACATATTACTGCTAAGAACTACTGAATGAATGGATGCTTGTGTTTTACATATAGGACTGCACAATCTTGATACCATGTACACCTCATTGTCGTTAAGAGTAGTCGAAGTTAAAAGTACCTTCAGGTCTGAAAAATGCTGGATGATTATCATAAGTTCATTCTCGTCTTGGACCCTACATGCTGCCACCTCGTTCTTTATAGTGTCTGGGGGTAGTCAGTTAAAATTATTGAATATGTAATGAAGCTTGAACATGATGTTCGCTCTGTTAAAGTCTTGTAGTGACTTTTAATGCAAATGTATGTTGTGCTAGTATCTTGTGCTTTGCGAATTGTTTCCCAGATTAATGTACACGGTTTTCATGTTTGGAAATTCTGATACAGTTGCTGACCTGACCTTAGTTTCCTTTAACACTGTAGCCGAAGCTTAGCTTGCGAATGACTCAAGAGTGAAGAAGCCCAAACTTCAACTTAAGGAATCATGAACCACTTTTTATATATAAACTATAATCATCATTTAAATGGGAATGATTCTTCTTTAGCACCAAGATAAAGTCATGTTTGTTATGGATTATTCATATAGTGCATATTATTCATGCAACTACAAGATTCTTGCCATAGGTAACTGGTGGTAGCTTCCAAATTCTTTCAGGGTCGCCAGTATTGGCAAGGACATGGGAATGGGCTTCCATAAGTGATTGCATAGGCTTGCTAGCAAGGTTATCATTTCCCTGAGGTAATCAATGGTATACTTTCTTAGAAAATATACCATTGTTCATCAGGAGGGAACCAAGTACAACTGTGCTACTAGTAGAGAGAGTCATATTTTAGTGTTTGTATTTGGCACAGTGTCTCCAAGTATGCTTATTCACATCGGCAATGGTGTAATTTTGTCATTTTTGCTTTCTGATCTATTTGTTCATTGTACTTCATGACGAGGTCTTTATTGTCTTTTTAAATAATATCTAAGGCACATCGGAATATAATGAGGCAACTTCTCATTCTCCCAAAATTATTCTCTATGGGATTATGGCATAGGAGATATTTGGTCCTGCAACGTGCTGCTATTTTGAAGTCTTATGACCACTAATACATTGATTTTCTATGCTTTGCATTTGTTGGACATTCTTTTCCCCAAGATCGAGCCTCTTTTTGTCCCCCTTTTTACAATTTTCCTCGTATTTTCCATAATTGCTCTATACTTTTACAAAAGGTAATCCAGTAGTTAAGATTCTTGGCCTCCCCCCCCACCAAGGGCTCTCTCTTCTCTCTCCCTGCACCAGAAGGCACTCTTATCTCTTTACCCCACCTTGTCCGCCTCCTCCCCAACCAATAGCCTCCTGTCTTTTCTCATCATCCAAAAGGTACTCTCTCCATTCCACTTCTACCGCCAGTCTCTCTCTGTCTCACCCCTCCCCTCAAAAAAAAAGGGGATTCACTCACTCTTTCTGCCCCACCTCCTTGGTCTCCTCTCTCTCTCTCTCTCTCTCTCTCTCTCTCTCTCTCTCTCTCTCTC